CAGTGAAAATTCCTTACTTAAAAAAGGCACTGTAACAATCTGAACTTTCTTATTATTGGCACTATACCTACACTGGCACAGACCGCTCAGTGAAATTCGTAGAAAAGCAGCTAGCCTAAGAGTAACCTTTCATAAAGAATTTGTTTAAAAATGATCAGGAAAACTGCATTTAAAGATGATGTCCACTCCGTTCTGCGCATCAGTTCTGCTCATAACAAAGGGGGACCCCCAGATATAAACATTGCCCAAATTTTGCATCTTTCGAACTTTTTTGAATTGAAACGTATAGTTTATATTCATTTACAAGTATAGCAAACCAGAAAAGTGAAAGATATCATATTTTACAAATATAGCAGTTCAAAACGTAAACAAAGTTCGCGCATGTGCACAGGAGTGGACATCATCTTTAACCAACTTCCAGCTTAAGATCATCAGTTTCTGCCATTGTGCGTGAGTAGTCAATGATGACAATGATGTATACACGTGCAGCGAGCTTGCCAATGCAAGTGTATTGCAGACCATGTACTAGTGAGTCTTTTTACTGACTAATTGCAGAAAATAACAGGTTTATATACTTCAAACTTTTGTAGCTCGGTAAACCTAGCTCTATAACGAGAGCAATTGAACGCAGCATTGCTTGTTAAAAACGTTACATAGATGAACCACCTGCTCTGCGATTTTCCTTTAATTTCCGACTGGGATTTTGTTTAAAAATGGCTAGAAAATGGATTCAGCGAAAATTTATGTTGAGAAATGAGATCTATATCCCCTCCCTTTCAGGACCCTCTTTAGGTAAAAACGCTCCATTGATAGCCTATATTATATAGTTTGGCTATAATTATCTTATCTTCTTCAATAAATGACATAAATATTATTTGAACTTAATTAAGTGGTCAAAATATATATGTATAATGATTAATGTATTCTGAATAATTGTCGCCATCAATTGTTGGTATAACTATGAATTTTGTCTATCAATATGATGAGATCATGCATTACCCAATTTAGCGGCCATTAGAAATAAAAGAACACCGTGTCTCGCTCTTGGAATGGATATCAGTTTACACATCCAGTATAAAATAACATTATTCATAAAAATTGTGGTTAATTAGCTCTGCGCAAGTGGAACCTGCATCTTGACCAGAAATATTCCCTTTAATGAATTTGCGGCTGTATTACCCACGGCGACTGCACTCTAAATAAATTATCTTAGCATAACAGAAGTTGCAGCTGGGTCCTACATGGTAAATGCCTGCGCATCATTTTGTCGCAGTATACTTACGTTTACAAGAACAAGACAAATTGACATCAGTGGATTCTGTACAGTCCTATTTTACTCAATTACACAGGTCATGCAGAGCTTACCACCGAATCATTGGGTTGAAGGTTTGTTGTTTTTCAGAAAGTTGTTATAACCATTATCTTGCACTGCGCTCTAATGCTCCCTGCACCCTAATGCGCCTACATCTGCACCAACTCATTCAAGCATGATGTCACTTCATGGTCCTTCATTACTTGTCAAATTAACGGCAAGTAATGAAATGACATCATGATTCAAACGTAACATAACGACGGAACCGTAGCGTCATTTAATTAAAGCAGAATTATAGATTGACAGAAAAGAAAGCGCAACGCCACAGGCGGCTTTCATCATGTTTCAATTTAACAAAATAATATCATTTGAATCTCGTTATTTGACCTCTATCTGCTTTTGTGTTGATTCTTGTTGGGATTGCCTGAAACCCACATACACGAATTACACGCATCGTTACGGCTGGAACATAAGGAACCGACAGGTTTTACTGAAACCACAATTGTTTACAGAATTATTATTTGCATCGAAATGAGTAGGCCTTGAAGCCTGCATAGCTTTGGATCTTATCCGTTATATATGTGAGTATAAATAGAATTGAAAAATATAGAACTGTTCAACATGGATTTAATTGAATGTAAAATTCGCATGCAGAATTGAATGTAAAATTGTGTTTGTTTTGGTAACACAGTTCGTTGCTGTGGCAACACATGCGTACACAATTCAATATAAATTTTCTTCCCAATTTCCCTTCCTGCACTATTTCGACCGTCAGCCATTCCGAACAGCAACGATGTGCTTAATTAACTAAGTGTAATTTTTGTTTACACCAGTGAACGCATGGTTAGAATGCATTATATATTTATACGCCTAATTTCTGGGGTTCGCGGCGCAAACAATGCAATACTTAATAGAGCAGCAATACAATGATCTTAGGAACAAGTATATATTTCCATTGGAACGAGGCAATGGTTTTGCAATTGTGTTTGTCCCACTTGGACAGGTGGCGTAGCAAACCGCGCGAAAAGTCTATTGATTTGGGAATAAATGTTCTCAGGTTAAGATACATAATCATCTCAATATATAGGTGAATGTTTGGAGAACAACCATGAAATTGATTCTAACACACCACCGGCAGCCGGGAAACCAGATGACCGAGCAGAAAAAACTCCTGCAAATAGCTTCATTGTACTACTGAAGGACTTCGCTTCTGATACAAGTTTTGGTGGAATTTCCAAGATTACTCTTTCCGATGGAAAAATTCGGCGTTTTCTCTGGTTATTGATATCTGTGACTTGCTATGCTTTGACTATCATGTACTGCATGTCGTTGGTGAATAATTATCTCGACAAACCTATCAAGACAACTGTTGATATTTCTTATGAAAAGGTATAGGTTTCTGCAAGAATAATGCTTAAAAAACTCATTAACAATTCATGAAGAAAATACAAAAGAAATCACGGGCGTGAAGGAGTGTGTATATGTGATACAGATTCATGTTGATTTACATAAACTTTAACTTTGATTTTCTCGGCTTAGACAACGTTTATGTTTTAAAATTACTTCGCCAATGAACTCATAAGATGAGTCGTTTTTTAAGCCTTCGGCGAGAGTTTGTATATCCGATACAACACGGCCGCTCATGCTGTAAATAGTACATATTAAATAAGTAAAAAAATGCATCCATGCATTAGGTGCATGTATAATTTGTTAACTTATCAGTAATGTGTTTGCTTAACGTGAGTTCAGCCGGAATAATGACATTGCTCGTTCTGAAGAAAACTTCTTTCAATTGGAGAATGTCTTCTGGCCAACTAATTACTGTACATGTAATATAATATGCACTGAATGCCGTTAAATTGTATGATGAATTTTGCATGCAAGATATTTCGGCGTTTCAGCTAAACTCTAATGTTAGTTGAAACATGCTTTCGCGGCTACTTTATCTTTCGACTTGTTTCAATAATTATACCCATGTTAATACCAACTTCTGCAGTGGGAGATTATAATCAGCAATGGGTAGAGTAATTAACGAATAATGTTGGAGGATCACTAACAAAAATATCATTAGCATGCAGAGGTAAGCAGTCTCCAAGTGCCTTCTAGTTTTGTTATGTACTACTTTAATTATGCACAAAGATGGGAAGATGTGATTTAGACCGGCAATTTTTAATCGGCTCGCTTTATTTTTGCTTAGAATGATAAAAAATGTCATTCAAAAGCTATAAAACCCTAATCTTTATTAATACGAAAAATGAAATCTGTGCACTCAATATTGAGCAAGAGCACGCTAGAGTTGGATAAACTTCTTTTTTTCACCCTGTATATACTGTATAAATAAAAATGGAAAGGTTAGCACGCTTTCGCTCGAAACGTTTCTTTTCTGCCGGCCAGGCAACGCAACATCATGCACCATATAATGTTATGAAAACTCAAACCATTTTCTTTTTCTTTAGAATATCAACTTTCCCTCCGTGACAGTGTGTAATCTCAATCAGTTTCGCAAGTCAAAACTACAAGAAGTCAAATCGATTCAAGATATTCTTCAACGTTTCTCAAATGAGAATAGAAACACATCGGACGGTTCAATTTTAGAGGTCTCTTTAAAAAGACTGAGAAAAATGCTGATGAAAGATCTTGCCCATGATGACGATGATGATGATGATCTTGGTGATGTTGATGTTGACGAGGACGTACTTCTTGAACAATTTGTGGCTATACTAGCATCAAATTATAATAAGACACATTTGAAACAAGTGGGTCATCAGTTTGATGATACGATTCTATCGTGCTCTTGGAAAGGAGCCAACTGCCGTACAGGGTAATATACCATATATCAATATTTGCCATATTTCAGTATGCATCTATTTTTATGGTTGTCAATAGAAACTGACCAGAATGTCCAAACTCGAATCTCTACCCCTAATCGTCAAAGCAAAATAGACATGTTTATAGAGGTTGCCCATGAATTTCCAAGAAACAAGGCAGGAACATTTTGCAATGGGAACACGGGAACAGAGCTAAAAATAGCAGGGATATATATATCGAACATATAAGCTGGGGGAACAAGGAAACATGGTTGAATCTTTGTGGGGAAAAAGGAAACAAAGGGACAGTTTCCAAGGGGATAGACCGCGAGCAGTCCCTCGGGAGAAAGAAGGAACTGCCGACAATTACACATCAAGAAACAAAATACGCGTTGCCCACACAACGCAAAATTGCCATTGGTTGAAATCGATGTCAATCAAATCTGATATGTCAGTAGTAATTATGCTATCGCAATAAATAATTTCCAGACTGAATGTTGATTTTATAAATAAACATGACGGGCTTAAATTAACGGTTCCTATTGGATATATAAGTAGACCTAAGTAATGTTTATGCAATGGCGAAGCCTTGTGCATGTGTCGCACGCCTGGGAAGGTAAACCCGCGGCAAGGAGGACCGCTCGCAATCTAGGGGACAGGAGAACACAAACCCTCTCTCCTGCGAGACCCTCATTCCATATGTCTCTATTTTATCGTGGCATTTTAAAGAACACAACTTCCATGCTCCATTCATAATTGATTACGCTGTGCTTTGTAAATGCATGCAGGATGGTGGATATATATACTGTATATCAAGGTGACTGATGTAATAGAGTGTCGATATATATCTACAGTCAGTGGACACTGCATGGTTTGCGTATACAGGACACAAAAGATGTGATGGATCCAGAGTATTTCACATCATCCAAGATGACTTCATCACGACTGTTACGACCTAATGAAAACCAGGTTAAATGGGGGAAAGAGCTCACGATGATATTTCCGGGTTTTCTCATTTACTTTGCCAAGTTGTTGATAATATACCGCATTTAAATTGTATAGCCTTCATAAACGTGCTATGGGGAAGTTGGGGTAGGGTAGGGGAGGGATGAGTAAATGAAAAAAGGAAATAGAAGGGAGAGAAAAGCTCATATCATGACAATATTCCTATTTTTCAGCTATTTTGCTAAGTTTTGGGTAAAACATTGGAATTGGAAATATGGCAATTGTTTCACATTCAACCCTGGAGGAAATGAAACAGGACATAAGCTCAGAATAATTCACACTAGTGGAACAGGACCTCATCATGGTAAGTGGACAATATTTAAATGGAAAGCTATATGCATGTAAAAGTAGAAGAAACTGGTATATTCTTTTTCATCGGGGATGGATCCCCGGAAGCGGAATGACTGTGATTCAATTATTCATTATTCATTTAAAATATTTCCAAATTATTACTGTCGATGCAATAGAAGTGTTGATAAAATATTGCATCAATTCCTTTCCTCAAGCTGATCAAATCATTGGATAGAAAATTGATCAACTTCCTGTTACTTCTAGATGCGCCAATTAGGTTTCGTTTCAGAACCGATTGACCAATAGGAAACGCACAGGAAGTAAAAAGAAATTTGAATTCCTATGAATTGATCAACTTGAGGAAATGAATTGATGCAATATTTTATCAACACTTCTATTGCATCGACATGCAGTAATTATTCATCGCACTTTTCGAATTGTTCATTCATTTTCTAATTTTCTTTATTCTAATATTCTTTATTCCTTTCCATCATAACTCCGCAATTTATTATTCCGGATTTTCGAACGCAAATCATATTCATGATTATTTCTCTTACTATATGGACGTGTTATTCATTATTCCGGGATGATTCCGCTTTCTATGCATTCTCGATATTTCATTAACTAAGCCGTAAATTGCAAAAGATACAGAACTGGTAAAAACTAACACGAATGGCGGGAATTAAAACCCTCTATCAACTCACCATGTAAGAACTAAGAAGAGTTAATTAACTCTGTTTATACTGTCGGCTCAATGTAGGATCTTTCCAGAATTCTTGCTTGTCTCATATTTGAGATCAGGAGTGATCAGGAATCTGGGATGTTTTCGTACAACTCGTTTATCGAGAACGCCTTTACATCCTTTATTATTGATTTTACTTCAATGTATTTAAGGATAGCCACCCCTACTTACAAGCAACCACCTTTTTCCAGAATTCAGATTGTATTAACTCTTTGATGAGGCAACTAGCTCTGTAGTGTTAGAATATACTGAACTAATGCAACAATGGTAAATACTCAAGTTGGTCAGGACGCTGTAAACAACCTCGAATGTAGATTAATTATGATAATATATGATTTTCCATAGGTTTATCTCTTGACATAAATATTCAGCAATCCTCAGAGTACGTAGATGAGTTGACTGCAGAAGCTGGGGCGCTTATCACAATTCATAAAGCAGAACAAATGCCATTTCCATACGACGAAGGAACTACAGTTTCTCCTGGATTTTCCTCCTCGATCGCAATAAGACAGGCAAGACATATTTATAATTTATGATATCAATTGGTAACTACTGTATATAGCAGAGAATTAAACTAACAAATTCATGAAAAAAATAATCAGATAACGACTCTGTTATGGTCACACGTATACCTAATTTTCATCGATATATGAATGACAACTAAATGTTTTCAGTTCATGACTGGTAACGTTGGACACGCCTTCATTAAAGTGCCTATATCACTTGTGGGACCTTTATGGATTTGAAAAGAGCAGAAAAAGTTAGTTAATAAGTTCAAAAACATTTTTTTTTATTTAGTGCAATAGTTTTGAGGATATATAGGCCTTTAAACAACGAACTGTTCCTGAGTCCCAGCCTCCTGGGGTCTAATCACGGCTATTGAATTTGGCCTTTTTCGAAACTGGCCATTGTGCATAGGAATCTGGGACTCAGGAACTGTAGGTAGTTTAGAGATGTGTATCTTCGAAATTATTGCACTAAATCAAAAAAGCTTTTGAACTTATCAACTAACTTTTTAGGCTCTTTTCAAATCCATAAAGGTCCCACAAGTGATATGGGCACTTTGACCATTGGCGTATGCGAAGCTGGCTATTTCCTACTCTGCATAATGGTAGCCTACATATTTTTCATGAAGCATATTCATCCCATAGCCTATATATAACTGATTTAAGAAATGAATCTGAAGCACAGTAAAACTGAAAGAAGAAATGAACCTGAAGCATAGTATTCGCGATTTAATGAATCCAGATCATCTGCATGCAGGAATTATAGGGTGAAGGGTTTGCCTGTACATTAGAGATTTGTCATTTCATGTATTGTTGTCTTGCCATTGTAGGAAAGTATAACAAGAGTGGATCCACATAATAATGGTAGTTGTCATCTTTTAGAAGAACTCCCTAAAGGAAATATTTACAGGAAATTTATGGGAGGCTCGTGTACAAAGTATTCTGTTAAGGTAACATCTAAACGTAACTACTCCAGAAATAATTATATATATCCATGTATTCCCCGAAATTGATTAACACTGTATTCCCCGAAATTGATTAACATTATATTTGTTGTAGTATATATAATAAAGTGCTCAATACTAATATTATAGCAGAGCAAGATATATTTATATATTAAAATTAATTATTGCTACTCAAGTTTCACGCCTTATTCAAGATGATCTTCAGGCAATTAATTCAGTGTATGTTTGATTCGTCAACATCAACGGTCGGTCGCTGACACGGAGGCTTGTCTTAGTGCGTCAATCTATATAACCATTATATCCCGACATAACCATCGCCTGTTAAAGAGAAACCCTACACAAAAACCTCTCCAATGCAACTGCCAAAAACCAGTTGAATGCCCACTAGATGGGAAGTGCAAAGTAGACAACATCGTCTATAAAGCCATGGTGACAACAACTGATGACGGAAATACTAAGGAGTATATTGGAATGACGGCCAACGTACCCATTCAAAGAAAGATACGCCAACCACAAAACGTCGTTCAACCTCTACAACCACTCGTCTGATACAAAGCTTTCCAAGTATGTTTGGAGTCTGAAGCGGAGTAGAAGAAATTACAGCATCAAGTGGTCTATCCTGAAAAGAGCTGCTGCGTACATGCATGCCTGGTGGAAAGCGATGTGGCCTCTGTTTGGAAGATAAGTTATGCATCTTGAAAGCGAAAGGGAACAAATCACTGAACACGCGATCAGAGTTTCATGCAAAGTGTTGCAATAGGGAAAAATTTAGCGCGTGCAAATTCAAACCGATGACGCAAGACAAGCCTCCGCGTCAGCGACTGACCGTTGATGAATCAAACATACACTGAAGATTGTCTTGAATAAGGCGTGAAACTTGAGTAGCAATAATTAATTTTAAGATATATATATATATATATATATATATATATATATATATATATATATATATATATATATATATATATATATATATGTTGTTTTATTTTAATTATAAAATTCCTCTCTTTATAAAATCTTATAATTATGCAAATGTTTTTAATTTGCGAGTATGCATGCCTCACTTGTTTACATCCCCCAAATGTGGGGGGGTACTAAAATAACCTTATATGTTCATCGAGGTACTGAGCCCCCGGTGAAAAAGGGCGCGGCAGGGGCTTAACTCGAAAACGCTTAACTCGAAGGGCTTAACTGGAAAAATACGTAGTACCCTCTTTAATGTCGATGTTGTTTTTATGTCACCTGTTATCGCTCTGATAAAGCTAGGCACAAGTATGTGATAAATCACTAGGCATCTTTATATATTACTGTTTAGTTTCGTACAACAAGATGTGGCATTCATCAGATAAATGATATTTTTATTTATTTATTTATTATAATAGTGGGTTTAGTGGGTTTATTAATACACGTTCAATAGCAAAAAGCTAAATTACAACGTGTTTACATCGTCAGATATTAATTAGAATTAATTAGAATTATTACTTATTTAAAACTATTTACATCAATGGACCTATATGTATATTAAAATCGTTTATATATATATATATATATATATATGGAATTGTATAAAAATGTATATAAATCTTACTTTTCTAATTTAAAATTATATTCATTAATAGCATGAACTACAGGGCTGTTTCTAAAACGTTCAGTGTTGCAAAAAAAGTTATAAATCTTTTTACCATTTGTCCTAGTCTCTGTGATGGTTGTAACATGTTCTCAATTAAGGAGGCACATAAATTGTTTCTGCGTTCTTCTAAGGTCAGCAGATTGCTCTGAGATAATAGAAGTCCATAATCACAAAGGCCAGGATAAATTATTCGGAGGGCTCGTTTTTGGATTCTT